GAAGGAGTAAGAGAGTGGAATTAAAGCTCAGACTGTCTGCTACGTCTTGGCCAACAGGGTCAACGTCACGGCTGCCAAGGTCTTAATATAGTAAATGCAAGTGCGTTGGAACAATGGCCCAACAGTCCAGCTGGTGCTGCTTGGTCAAACACTATAGGAAAAAAAAAAATAGTTGACCCATTTCAACAACAGTGACTGCCATCAGACAAATGAACGAACATCACCTAAAATAACCATTTCAATTAGGAACTTGATTTTAAAACATGTACAAGAAACCACTGTGCTTTATCCTAAAGCTATTAAATTTACAAATGTCTGAAGGGTTTTAAATCTGGAGTGGCCAATCCTGGTGCTGAATGGCCAGCGTCTGCAGGTTTACTAGGTCTCTATAAAGTAGCAGCACCTGAAGAGCCGAGAAAAGCTTTTGAACTGGCTCAGTTAAGCCAGTAACCAGCTAACGTCTGCACTTTAAGGGTTGGCACGAAAGCCCACAGACAAGCTTGCCCTCCAGGAGCAGGACTGGACAGTCTTGTAAGGTTATATTGCCCTCGGTGGCTGACCGGACTCCACTGAGCTTACAGCCCTTCCAGGGAGAGCTGTACTCCCATCCAGCCGATGCTTTAACTCGGCTGCTGATGCAGCGAGTTCACGGTGCAAAACAAGTGGATGGCTCATCGATCAAGATCAGTTTGTATCCTCACAACTCCTATGGAAACAGGACAGTTGCAGCAAAGGGATATTTATTCCAAACATTTTTCTAAACAGAAAACGCACTGCAAGATTGCCTTATACTATGATCTACAGTTTCTTGAGCAAGCCAATGTCCTCTTCCAGAATCACAGTATCTTAACTGCTCTCTGCACTATACACTAAATGAGATTCGTAATATTTATAGCAGAGGTTTGCGCTACATTTTAGTGTGTGACGTCTAATCCTAACGCTATTAATCCCAAATCTAGCATTTGCCTTTACCTAGCATTTGAAAAGCCCTATAGAGATTAAATCAAGGGAAGAGGTAACCAAATAACCAAGAAAGACGCAAGCACGGCCATCACGCTTGAGGCTTCAGTTCCTGAAATAGCCCAAGTTCAGACTGGTGAGCTCAACAACCAGGGTATTTTTTAACCACATTCATCTACATGGCATCCAATTAGACTTCTGAGAGAAAACAAATTAGGCTCTCCACTTCATTTTCTAAAACTGTCCTTTTGGAAAGATAATTGGTTTCTGCTATTTAAACAGGTTTGTACAGAAAAAGAATTTGGAGTCTCCCGTCCTCATATTTAATAATTTTAATGGATTTATTTCAATCTACAGACTAAACTGTCCATTTCTTTATATACATATACCACTCATTTTTAACCTTGTATAATTTCAGCTACACATACGAATCCTATTAAAATGATTAACTACTGATGTTTTTGCCAAATAAAATAGGGAACAGAATAGTAACAAGGACAGTGATTAATTAGATGTAGTAGTTAAGAGAGAATATAATTCAAACATATTGATTTCTAGCTTTTTATGTCTCAGCTTGTTATGCTTAACAGCAGCTATCTTCCAGTATCGCTGGTTAATGTAATTTTATAACCAGCAGTCCCCAATTAGGAACATTCGCAGACACTAAGCAGCTTTATACAGTTTATCCCCACAATAGAAATATCCAGCCTGTTTGGAATCATGTCCGAGAAGGACAAACAAGCCTTTTAAAGGCTTGGGTAAACTCCATCACCTTAGAACGGAATTTCCTCTCTGTAATAATTGATAGTAACAGAATTTTTTTCCTCTTTATGTACAGCACAATGTTTGCCTAGTAACAGAACTCCTGCAGGCCCTGAAGTAGCCGCTGACACTGCTAATAGCCACTTTTAAACTTTGTTAACCAATATCAGAAATGCAGTTTGTGCAATTTCTGGATTTCTCTGTGAAATCTTAAAATCAGCTATTCTAATTTCAAATGAAATAGGATGAAACATACACATCCTAGCATTCACTTGTCCCTGTATAAGACAGCTGGGGCAAAACAAAATGCCCTAAGAAGTCTGGCTGTTCAAATACAGCACTCTGACGTTCATAGGACATAAAAGTACACATGGATTTTGTTTTAGATGTAAGGTCTGTAGGCTTCTGGAGTAGCTCTTTCCCCGTAAAAATATTGATTTCACTTCCCTTAGATACATGGAAACTTCTTTCCTCGCTTCATGAAGAATTATTTGTAACAGACCCCTACATGTAAATTCTGAAACATTCTTATAGATACAAAAAAAATGTTTTAATTAAACATCTGAACAAATGAATTTTTTCTGTCAAAACACAGCATCATTTGTAATTTGTGAAGAAAAATACATGACATTTTACAATGGTTACATATTCCAAAACAAAACAAATTAAGATCCATTAAAAAAAATAACGGATTCAATTCTTTAATTAATAGCTAAAACAGGTCTGAGCTGATGGGGTTCTGACAAGAGTCTCAAATTACAGTCAGTATAAATTTGGACAACTGTGTTTGGATTAAGAACCGATTAATAGGAAAGAGAACAGAAATTTAGGTTATGCAATTAGTGCAGTGTCACAGGGATATATACTAGTACCACTGCTGCTCTGTGTTTATATCAATGATAGATACTGGTTCAAATTACTTAAGCTTTTAATTATACTCAAATGGGAGGATGGCCAAAGACTGTAGAAGCAGCAAATGGATTTCAGAAGGACAGACCAAAATCAAGACTGGGCAAACACCTGGCAGATCAGTTTAAATATAGGGTAGACAAGTGCCGAATATTACATGCAGGTAGAAAAAAATACAAACAAAATGAGAAATGCCAAGATTGAAGAGGACGTTCATGAATAAGACGAAGTATTTAGATGTTCATGGCAACAGTTATATCTTAGACAATGTGAGGAAACAACAAACAAACAATTTAAGGATCTAAAAAATGGAATTTAAGTCACAACCACATTCAGAGTAGTGTACAATTTTGGGAACCACATTACCATAAAAAAAGATGTACATCAGTACTGTCTACAGAAGAATAACCAGATACATTCCAAGTCTTGAGGGAATATCATACAGACCAAATGAATCAAACATTTTTAAATCTTTAATATAGAAAACTAAAAGGGTTCAATGTCAACCCATTGGACAGAATGAACAATAAAAAAAAATAATCTTTTGGGACATTACAAGACAATGCATCCACTTTTTAATCAATTTATTCAAAACCTTAGTCTTCAGTTTCAGCATTCCGGTTAAGATGTTTTCGCCGACATATACACTAACTAGTTGTGTAAGTATCCAGACCCACAAACCCAATATTTGGTGCAAGTGTCTTTGCCAGCAATTCTAGCCAGGAGTATTTTTGTTGCTAAATCACTTGGGGATCACTTATGGATAGCCATTTCCAAATCGCTCCACAGATTCTCAACAGGATTGAAGTCGGGACGTTGACTACACTACTCCAAGACATTCACTTTCTTAAATCTTAAGCTACTCCCATGTGGCTTTGGCCTTGCACTTTGGAACACTGTCTTGCTGAGAGGTGACTCGTTTTCCTCTTTGCTACTTTTCTCCATCCGTTTCCAATCTTGATAAGCTTCACAGATTCTGCAACTCTAACATCATGCTGCTGCCACCATGTTGACTGAGTGACGCACTATGGTGGGTTTGTAGAAGATGTTATGCTTTGGATTCCACACAACCTTTGGCCACTTGCTTGCAGTATCATTTAGGTGCTTTGTTGCAAACCCCACACAAGATTTGAGGCGTTTCAGTTCCATTCAAGCCCTCTTTGGGCAGTAACCATAAACCCCCCCCCCACCAATTTCAGGCACTGAGATCTAAGTCACCATTGGCATCCTTAGCCAGTTTACTTGGCAAGTTGGTCCCTTCAACTTCACCATACTCAAGCGAGTCTCTGGAATTTATTTATACCCTTCTCCAGATTCCTGCCTTTATACAACTTTTTCCCCAAACCTTTTTGAAAGCTCCTTGGTCTTCATGACTGAACCTTTGTTTAAAATTCACTACCTGACTGTATTTGCAGTGCGACTGTAGTCACGTGCATTTGTTCCGACATCATGCAAACCACTTACAGCATACAGACAGAGACCACGCAACAAATGTTGCTTATTAACATATTGTGCCCCTAAATGTGGGCTTGCCACCGCAAGAGATTTAAATACTTATGACTTTTCCATTTTTTTCTCCTATATTTACTTGTTTGCTTTTGAATGATTTAGGTGCTTACCAACTGAACATATGTACTACTTCAAAGTATCATGTCTGGCCAGCTTTAAAAAGGCAGAATGTGAAAACTGTGCAAAGGTCGGAATACCATGCCTTTATAATAAGACCTTTCCCAATACACTGTGTAAAAACAAATATTAAAAATAAATCCAGCTGATCAAAAAACAAAAAAGGACTCTAAGTTTGAGATGCATCCCTGAAATTTTAACAGCTTTGAGGGGGGAAAAAAAAGGATTAAAAAGACTACCAGAGCCCTTTAGCTGATTTACACAAGCAAGGCTACTTGAAAGTGGGAATGCTTGTTCTTCTAGGATGTGAGAATTTAAAGATCAGTTACATCAGCCCTGCGCAGAGGAATACAACTAGATCTTCAACTCAAGTCCTGAGCCCACAAAGACACATATTGCATTAAGCTGATGCGTCACTTTTTAACATGCCCCAAAAATACCACTTGCTCTGCATCTCAGGTTATCGCCTGCAACCCCTATCTCAACTTCCTTTGCAAAGCAGTGCTAAGAAAATTCAGTTCTGAGTGACTACTAGGAGCCAACTGAACAAAAACAGGAAGAACATGCTTGTGCCAGAACTGTTAGAATAGTACCATAATCCAACAGATCCAAGCATTAAAATCTAGAATTCAAATTTCTCTGAAAGGAATGAGGAATACTAATTACAAATGGTACAACAAACACCAACAGTTTGTGATGGATCTTCTGCTTGTGACAGATTCCAAGTTTTCTTCATACTTTACCTGTATAATGAACAACGCATGTCTGGCCTTTCTTCGGAAATGTTCTTCCTGTGGAACAGAAAACGAATAATGAATAATTTGGGCAAAGAAAAAGCAAATCACAACAGTGATTTACGTTACAACCCAAGTTTATATAGATAAGCACAAGATCCGTGGGAAATACTAGAGTATCTCAATTAAAACAAGTATATGGAAGCCCATAGATGTTAATTTTGTCCACAGGAATTAAAGATACTGTGAAATACCTGGCAGACCAATCTTACCATTTCCTCCATTAAAAAAAAATATAT